GAGAGAGAGAGAGAGAGAGAGAGAGAGAGAGAGAGAGAGAGAAAAGGTGGAGCACGTCTCCAAACCCAATGCTGATTGCATAGTGTGCCAACGATATTTAACTAGTTTAATGACCATAATCCTATCTAGGGGCACTTTTACAATTCTCTCCTCTCCTTTTCACTGTCTTATGGCCCAAATTCCTATTAAATGTCATACCAGCTCATGCCTTGAGTGTTCACAAGTGCATGGTTCCCTGCAGCCTCCTACACGACCTTCAGCCCATGAAGAGCAGGGCTGCATCTGAGGCTGACACAGAGCTCGGGCTTCTCCGTTCCAGGTAAGGCCAGGTGCGCAGGTCAGCAGGCCTGGGGCAGCGTGCTCCCATCGTGGGCATCCTAGCTCAACTCTCCTTCCTGTCTCAGCTGGCCTCTACGGAAACCGCCCCATGCTCTCCCGCCATTCACTCTCCTTTGCTTCTCATGCCTTCTCTGCATAGCAGCTGAAGTAATCAACTGCAGGACTGAGATTGGAACCACGTCAATGTTTCCACTGAATCCATTCAGTGGCTTCTTGATAAGTTCAGGAAGTTAGAACTAGGTCTGTTGCCATGATGCAGATGCTCTACAGGATCTGCCCCACCTCTCCAGCAAGGTGCTGGCACAGGTCTGCTACCTGGTTACCTTCCATTTGAGGTCATTCTCCTTGGACTCCTTGGCTCCATCAGGCTGACGACTCCACAGGGTCTGGGGACACCTTTTCTTCCTGCCTGGAACACACCTCACCACACTTCCACCTGACAGGTCTCCAGTAGGTAATGCCACCCATCACTACCACCACTACAGCCCCAGACCATACAATTATTCCTCTTAGACATGCATAGGTACCAGACACCTGGCCTCAAATATCACAGTACGGCTGTCCTTGTCCATACATTTGGTCAATGTATTTCTCACTAAGCAAACTATCATCTCCTTCAGGGAAGAACCCAGCTTACTTTTGCTTGCCATAATGGATTCAAACATTCTTTGTAGGAATAAATTTATGAATAATTGGATTTAGTGGGATTAGACCTTTCAAATGATCCCAGTCTTCGTGTGGGGCTGGCACTACTAGTATACACAGCCTCTGGTTCTGGGCTCCCAGGATCAGGGTCTTTCCCACGTGAGGTGCCCAAGGTTCTACGCCCACTGCAGTCTATGTGGCAGGACTCTAGAACCATCAAGACACTGCTGTCTTTTCCCTGTGCCTTTATCCTGAATCTTGACAGCCCAGCTTAACCTTGTTTCTGAATAAATTGGTATCATAATTAAATCCCAGAGCATTTTGCACATTTTACCAAGGTACTGCCTTACTGTAGGAGAGAGAAAATGAGTTTTGAAATTAAAGCAGATTGTTAACTATTTTCACTGTAATGTTTCTATTAAAATGCCAACATTTATTACACATGACCTAGTCCAGTTCAGACAAAATGTGATTTAAAAGAGACAGGGTCCA